ATATATATATATATATATATCGCCTTATCTATGCATGAAAAGGCGTATTTCACTTCTTAAAGTTAAAGTGGTATTTTATATGTGATATGAGGGGTTAAAATGCAAAAAAAAAAAATTTTAAGTGTTAGATATGTAAATACATAAGAATTGGGTCAGGTTGATATGAATCCTTCTCATTTTGAAGCGCTGCATCTATTCTGTGCAAAAATTATTTTAACTTCCAGCTATTTTGCCTTTAGTTTTATCCATTTACTTCTTAATTTTACCCCATCACTGATCTCATTAATTAATGCATCTCCTAATTTCCATTTTAGATACCCAAAGAAATTAAAGTCTATTTTATGCTACCTTATGATAAATAAATGTTTTCCCCAACAACTTAGCAATAAATTTATTTTTCTATGTATCAGTCCTTGTCATTAACTTAATTTGGCTATTAATTACTTGTGCAGTGCTTCGATCCACGAAGGAAAGCTGATGTAATTGCAATTTAGAGAGTTTTACAAGTATTGATGATATTATTTTCTATTACATAGAACTCACATTTTTTTTTTAATTTAATCACCCAAATTTAATTATAAAAATTGTCCTCTTAGTTACATAATTGTCACAAGTAGCTTAAGAGGTGTTAGTGCCTTAATAGGTTATCAATAAGAGGGATTTGCACATCTATAAATGCTTCCTTTTGGGAAGTAATAGGCATAAAAAAGAAAGGAACCAATTACATTGCTTTGTGATTGTCATTTTTGGGAGTTGCTGACATTCAAAGAACCGTTTATCTCTCTCTTTCTTTCAATCTCATAACAATTAGTACTCTCATCAAGCAAACAACTTCCTGCTTAAGTCAACCCTCGCTCATTTCTCTAGCTTTGACTTTTCAACTCCAGATTGGAAGCAATCGTTGTTTGGTGTTCTTGCCCGCCGCTCTAGTCGTTGCTTCCAACCAATTATTCCTTCACTAAAACAATGTTCTATCAACTTCATCTTTGATGTCTCCAAGTAACATCATGGGATCCCCAAATCACAACAATCTCAACTCCTAAGATCCCCAAATGACAACAGTGTTTCCTCTTACTTTCCTTTATGCTACAAATTTTGTACTTGCTTTATGTTTTCAGATATGAACATATATGCATTTCTCTTTTGCTTAGTTGCACGCGTGCTCTTGTATGTGAGTCGTCCTCTTTGATGTTGCCTGAAATCATTGATCAGACGAGAAAAATCTAGTGAATTTGGATCAATTGAACTTGTAAGGTTGGATTAACTTGGGTTAAACAACTGTTGTCATAGGACTAGCAGAGAGGGGGCTTTTTCCCTGTGATCTTAGCTTATTGAGTGAGAAAAGCAACCAGCGACTTGGCCATTAGGCTTGTTGAGTCCGGCCTTCAAGACCTATTGGAACCTTGGACTAGGGTTGTTCATGGATTCGCGCTCTCATCATGTTCAGACTAATGAACAGGGGTTCTCCCACAATAACATTAGTCTGCTGAGTACAAAAAGCAACCGGTGACACTATCATAGGCTTGTTGAGTTTGGCCTTTAGGACCCGTTTGAATCCTAGACATGAGCAATAAATAGACTTTGCATTCATCATCATCAAATTAACAAAACGTTGAGGTGTCAATTCGAGTCAGAGGGAAGGGTTATGGTCCAACCCGAAAATGACATGACCCAAATAGGGTCAACCCGAACCCTTCCAGAATAATAAACGAGTCATAAACTAAGATGAGTACCTGACCCGTACCCGAGCTTGCCCCGCTAACCTAAATCTAAACTGAGCTTTAGTGATTTTTCGAGTCATGTTTGGGTTTTTGGGTTCAACCCGAACCTGAACCGAATAATAAACAGGTCGAATTCTCTGACGCGAACCCGACTCGAAAAATATTTGGGTGAACCCTAAACTAGATTTTCCGGGTTGTGTTGGCGTGTTGGGTCAATTTTTGACACTCCTAACAAAACAAGGGCTCTTCTACTGCGGAGTTAGATTGTTAAGTGCAAAGAGCAGCTAGTGAAGGTGCCATAAACTTGTTGATTCCGGCCTTCAATACCCATTTGAATCCTAGACTTGAGCAAAAAAGAATTGGTGCTTCTCCAACATAACTATCTGAAGCTTACAGAAGTCGAAGATTTCTTGCCTGACATTTGAAATCTTGGCAAGCCTTATAGGGGGACCCGTGACCATCAAAAATGTCTTAAGAATTTTGTTTAAAATTTGTTCCATTTTGAATTGTCTAACTTAACGCAACTTTGTAGTTGGCAACTTGAACAACTTCTCAACGAGATCGACATAAAGCATAATGTCACCCGAGTAACTTGAGAATCTTGACTTCTAGCACGCGTCAACCAAAATAATTGAATAATTATGGGGATCTCAACTTTTAGCACGATGTCGACCCACATAATTGAAGAATTCTGGGGATTTTGACGTTTGATGCGATGTCGACCCAAATAATTAAAGAATTATGATTGAGTATCTAGCACAATGGTCGGAGCACATACAAAAATTTTAATTTATTGATTGGAGTTGATTTTAAATAATTTTGAACGCACTTTGAAATATATTTGGTCTGAACTTAACCATATGTTTAACCTACTCGGCATTTACCTGTCGATTCTTCTCGTT